CGAACAGAAGGACTCGTAAGAGGAGAACAGTCCAGGAACACAAAGGACGTTTGACATAGCTACGGGAACAATTTCTGTTTTTTCCAAGCGCTAAAGCAACATGCAAATTTGCGGGAGGTCAAATGCTTGCGAGCACGAGAGGAAGTTATATGCACGGTTGTTGAGGGTTAGATGCGGGGCATGACGGTTTGTAACAATTGGAGGGCCAGAAGGAGGTGTAACAATGTGATCGAAAACCGAAGTTAAGAAACACACAGGAGGAATGCAGTACTGAAAAAAGTGCTTCTATTGAAATGGATCGGAGAAGGGAGGTATTGAGAATGTGTTCCCTTGCTTTCCCTTAACTCTGACTGTCTGCACGCATCTTTGTATACGTATATATATTGTCACATCACTACAAACCAAAAGAGCGCACTTTGCGGAACAAAGAATAAAAGCAAAAAAATATATAAATCGTTTATATATTTATAGAAGCCATTCGTTGCATAGCGGAGGGAGACACAGTGAGGTCTATGTTGGGAGTCAACGAAGTTAGAAGGGATGTTTCGGTTGCCGAGGGCAGACACAGTGGTTTTGGAACCAAGAATAGTGGCAGAAGTGAAACTGTGGGAGGGCCCATGAAGGAGAGGGAAGTTCTATTGGCAGGTTCGGGACAACGGAGGTGGATATGCAGGACAGTTTAGGGAGTCCAAGTGGCGTCGGAAACGAAAGGACATGGTCCAAACGAAGATGTTAAAGAGAGTTCAGAACAAACGAACACACGAGATGGAGATCAGACAGAGGAAACGGAGATGCGAAACAGTCGTCACACGAGGCGAAAAGCAGTCACAATTAGGTGAAAACACACCGTATGTGTCGTTACAAAAGTGGAGGAGGACACGAGGAAGCAGGGAAGATTTGAAAAGAGGACAGATACAGAAGTCAACGCGAGGGGAAGAAGCGCAGAAGGTTACGGGACGACGAGTCCCAAAAAAAGCAACCCGTACAGTCAGTCCACGTAGAAGCAACGCCGTACACACTGGTTTCGTAAGCGGGAATAGTGGAAGAGGTGAAAGTGTGGGACGTGTGGTCGAGCAGACGGAAGTTGCACTGCTACCTTGGTGAAAAATCAGGTGCATATCCAGGACAGTTTAGTGAGTGCAAGTGGCAGTGGAGCCGAAAGCACATGCTGGAAAGCAAGATGTCAAACAGAGTTCACAACAAAGCAAACACACGAGAACCAAACAGACGAAATGGACATCACGCGACGCAAATGGAGATGGTAAACAGTCCTCACACCAAACCAAAAACATTCGCAATTAGGTGAAAACACACCGTATGAGTCTTTACAAAAGTCGAATGTGATCACCACGACAGACGGAAGTTCTGAAAAGACGACCGAGACAGAACTGAACGCGACCAGAAGAACCGGAAAAGATTTATGATCCACTGCCCCAACAAAAAGCAACGCGCACAGCGATGCAATGACCACGAAGGAGTGCACAGTGGCACGACACGCAAGGAGACCGTGACCAGAGATCCACGGCGACAACGATTGTGCTTCAATTGGTCGGATTGTTGTGCGACCCAGTTAGCCGGAGCCCAGGTTTGTTTGAGGAAGGAGACCGGTGAATCCGCCAGAGAAGCATAGCAGGGAATTGACACAATTGTTGGAATCAAAGACGACGAAAATATCAGTTGAACATCTGCATTCATAACCAGGCGAGGAACACACTCCCCGGGCCATGACCAGTTCCTGGACGTCTAAGCGTTGTCATCGCCGGAGTGGTTGGAGTCGCTGGTGTCGCTGGTGTCGCTGGTGTCGCTGGTGTCGCTTTCGTCCTTATCCGAATAGCCGGGGTCCAAGTCCAGCTCCGCCTCAATATCACTAACAGCGTAATCTGTGAAGATCTCCTCTGATGGAGTTGAAGAAGATGTGTCGGTGTCGCCCTCCCAGAGGAATTCTCCTTCACTTCGGTAATCACCATCGTCATCAATGTCCCCAGAGTCAATTATTGCCTGCATTTCATTGACCTTGTCTTGATATCGTTGACGTTCCACCTTGGCTTCCTCGATCTGGTCACGCACGCGTTCAACTTTTGGATCTCCCTCCTGCAACCCTC